AAATGATGCAACAGGTATAAAAAGATGATGCAACAGGTATAAAAAGATGATGCAACAGGTATAAAAAGATGATGCAACAGTAAAGGTACAGTGCTGCTATCCTATAAGTTGACAATTCTATCCTATCCTATCGTGAATCCTGCATCCACAATCCTATCCTGTGATTTCAGTCTAATCCTATCCTATCCTATCCTGCAACTCTCATTTTTTTTATATTTAGGAATTAATTTGACAAAACGAAAAAAAGGGAATTACCAGAAAATAAAATCAGATATAGTTATGGTATTAATTTAAATGTTATATATTTTAATGGAGAAAAATAATCGAGATCGGCATTCCATAATTCCCGACTGACCGCAGAAATTAAATTTACGATTATCATACATGTAACCATGTTAAAAAATAATGTTAACAAACAGATCGTAATTACACGTGGACAAATACTGATTTTGCAAACATATGTAAAGAAATTGGCCTACCAGAAGAATTAAAGAAAAATATACTTATTTTTTTTTTAATTTTCCTACTAACAATGATCGTGAGACCCGGGATCGCGACTTGCATCCGACGTGTAATATTTAATTATTTTTAAAACCATATGCCTATATGGTAATAATGTTTAAGTATATGTTCCATGTAAAATTTTATTTTTTCCTAAACTGAGCACCATGAAAATAACATGCTTGTACATGTATAGATCTAGTCTAACTGTGCCTGCGTAACAAGTTTTTCTCTATGCAATTTTGAAAAAGAAGATATGACTAGACCATAAACAAAACAGACACGTCAAATGTAGATCTAGAATATCTTGACTTTCACATATTAAACATTTTAAATGTGAAATTGTCTTATAATATCAATATTAATTGTATGATTTTTTTTCATTCAAATTCATAATTTATTCTTTTTTTTATTTCAGTTCATCATCTATTGTATGTGATATTTTTCAAACATGCAAAATATATAGTTGCTAAATTCAAAATAATCTAATTGTTAATTTTTTTCATTTCACTTCTGAATCAGTTTCTCCGCAGTTTATGGTCAGCTCAACACCGTACAAATGTATTTCAATTTTCAATTTTTTTTATGTGTAAAAATTTAATAATTTATGTTTAATAGAATATATTTTCTAAATTTGATATTGGTTGACAGATTGGCATTAATAAATATTGTAGTGAGGTCACACATGTTTCTAAGAGCTTATACAACATGCATGAGAAATTCAGAATTCACATTATTTATATGTACATCTTATTCTTGAGTAAAACAAGTTTATTTTTGACCTTGGCATTTGATCTTAAATGTTAATCAGTGTCAAATTGAGAAATATAAAAATGCTCCACACATGTTCCTTAGATCTTATAAAACATGCATAAGAATTCACCGTTCTTACAGCATTTATAACACATTCTTGAGTAAACTTTATATTTGACTTTGACATTTGATCTTAAAATTTTCAGTGTTTAAATGAGTAAAAATACTTTATCAAGTTCACAATATTTTTATTCAAGGTGATTCCTCAACAATGTTTAACAACTGAATATTCCATTACCATGAGACAGTCATTAAAAGTATCCATGTACAGCATTTATGAATTTCAATGCAAAGATCACAGATACATGTACATGAACTTTGTTTAAATTAAAGTTTATCAATGTTTTTATTACACTAGTATAATGTTTTACATGCATATAATTTGGCTTTCTTAACCGATGCACAAATTGAAATTCAAATATCAGAGTTATTGTCAGAGAGATGGTCATAAACCGAACAGTTCTTCAAATGTCAACAATGCACAGAAAACACACTGATCTCCTTAATTAAAACACCATGATTTCAGACTTAGGACGCTGTGACACTGGTTTGAACATCTTTCATCATTTACTCTAACATCATATGGCATGAACTGCATTCTGTACAGCTGCAAATACATGTATGCAGGGTTTCCTGAAAAAAAAAAAACATAAAATGAAATTATAGGCATGTTGATTGTAAATTTTGTCATACACATTTCATACACATTTAACATGTTTAAATTGTTTTTGATTGTAACTACTAGTATCTTTCACATTTCATGTACAGTTGGTTTTAATTTCACCTTTTTCTCTCCCCAAAGTAATGCATTTAGAAATCATGAAAAATAAAATATTATACTGCAACCTCAGTCATATAAAATAAAAAAAAAAATCTCATTTAACATAAGTTACTTGTACATTATAATTCATTTAATCTTGTCAACCTGCTTACAAGTATGAATACATTTGTTTTAGTGACTTTTCTCTATTTTCTGCTTGTATTTATCTTTTTAATGTTTTTTCTTGGGTTTTTTTTGTCTTGAAATTTGAATATGAAAATCTATGATACTACAACATGATGACTAGAAAAATTCAACATTTCTTTCAGTTTTACTCTCATTATTTTTTAAAGACGTAAATCACTTCTTCCGAGTAACTGCAGACATGTCACGCCAACTCAGATAATGATGTTTATGTATTTTAATGACCATTTAAAAATACATGATAAAAATAAAATCATACATACTTTTTAGGTTGAAATCCTCGTACTGCGATGACGCATGAGTGTAGACAATCCATTTTCTGTAATGATTAAAATGAAAAGATTAACTTATGTTTCATAACTCACAATACATCATACATACATGTACAATATGTAAGTACACTGCTGAGTGAGCTCATTAAACATTTAAGCAGAAGCTTTAGAAATGGTCATGATGATTCTACATTCATTTATTATTAATTACATAGAAATGAAAAAAAAAATTTCTGACCTTATTAGGGAAATGATAAGAGTAACAACCTGATTTAGGCATAATACATATGATAGTTTTAGTCTTAGAACTCATTGGTAGCTGATTGAATCATATAACACAGTATTTGTAAATATTACCCCCCTTTTTTGTCTACAATACTTTTTTCCGCACCCAATTTTTGTTTATATTAAATAGAATAAAATGTTTATAGTTTAAGACATGAGAACATTGTTTAAAGGGATAAATATGTATAAAAATGCACACATGTACAGTGTACAGTGTGACGTATACTTACATGATATCGCACATCATCTATTCAAGTCCGCTGTTGACGGTTCCTGTGGAATTATCCAAACAAACAGAGCATATTTAACAAAAAACATGTTATTTCACTTTCACACAAGCAAGAATTGGTTAAATCATCCAAACAAGCTGAAGAAATACGGTCTTTCGATGCCTGGACTCTTCGTTGTTTACATTCCCAATAAGCCTTTTCACGATAAATCTCGCACATGCGCACAAACGCTTCCGGACGGCAAACTCATTTTGTTTACATTGGTGACCTTATAACAACTATGTCAAAGCGGGAGAGTTTAAATAAGTTAAAAGTTAATGTGCTGCGAAAACTTGCCGAAGAACACGGAATTAATGTTACTAAAAAGAAAAAAGAAGAAATCATACAGGATTTATTAATATGCCAGACGTCACCCTCTGTTCTCACACCGATCGTGCAGCAAGATTCAGCTGGAGCTTCCTTGATAGTACCCTCTCAGGACAGTTTACCACCCTTCAATGCCGTGATTTATGAGTCCCCAGACCATTCTTATATTCCCAAAATATCTTTCACTGATATTTACAACTTTATTATTGAAAGACCTACACCGTGTGGTAGTACAGTGAAAAATTTCAAGGGTCTAGACAGATCTGTCAAGCACTTCGAGGCTGGTGATGTGCAAGACATTAGGGTATCACAGGTATGGGATAAAAATGTCATTTTGTTTTTTTAAATATTATGAACTCTTATAAACTTACATGTCATTTGAATTATTCTATTTTACATTTTTTAAATGCATGTACAATTTACATGTTTGCAAGAAAAGAACTGTGGAGTCTGGATAATTTACAGGCAGTATTATTTTTAATTAAAACATCTTCTGAAATTATTAATGTTATTTGTGTCAATCATCCATTCAATAAATGAAGTGCATTTTCACTTAGATAAACCCATCTGTGATCTATGTGAAAGCAACATGCCAGGCTTCTATGAAAAAGCAGCAGTACCAAGTCTTCCTATGTGTGTCAACATCCAACACAGGCAAACCACATATACAGCATGGATATTGCCAGTGTCCTATAGGGTAAAATATTTAAATAATACAGTACTATTACACTTTGAAATGCTTCTGGACTGGTTTAATGGTTTATATTAGAGTACACAAAATTACAATCCCATTATTTTTCACCGATTGATATTAGTACATTACTCATTATATTATATATTTGTTTCACATCATAAATTGTGTCACTTCCCCATATATGACTTTTAGTTTAAAGTTCATGTTTGAAGAATTATGTTGAAATAGTCCCCACCCTCTCTGACTCCCCAAATATGACTACAATGAAGTTGACAGTGTAGGGCTTTAGGCTATTATTTGTGAATTGGTATTCATTTATTTTAATAGTGGAAATTATATAATTCTAAAAGGATGTGTAAAATAATGAGAAATACCATTTTCAATTAAAAAAAAAAGCAGAAATTTTATACATTTACTTAAAAAGTATATACATGTATATACTGTGTAATTATGTAATTGTTTACATGCATTATTCCTTGAAGCCTTTCTACTTTTAGGTTAGCACAGGCATGTAGCCATATAGGTGCACTTCTCTTTGCACTTAGCCATGCCAAACCTGGTGAGACACAGGAAGTTGTACATCTCAGCCTTGTAAATGGATCATTCCCGGGCGCCAGGTGAAGCCGACTCGGCCCATGAGCTCTTTGCCCAAGAAGTCCAAGCCTCTACATACAGACACTGAAGATGATCCAGTTGCCTCTTTTGATCCTCGCCACTCGGACGACAAAAAGATGGATCTGCATAATACTCTGCAGCAGTTGAAAGACTTAAGAGATACCTTCCCACAAACAGGTAGGAATTAATAAATATTTCTAAAATATCAATTCATATTATGATTTATTTGAGGAATTTAAGGATACATGCTTTAATGCACAAAATTTCTATGCATGGATTGGTTATTAGAACCATTTTAAGCTTAGTTTGGACTTTCAGTAAGGCATGACATTCTAGACATTGCATAATTAGCTTCTGAAATTGACACTTCCTTCACTGTTGAAATGTACATTGGATAGAAATTTGGGCAAATGCCAATCAGTGTATAGAATAACTGATATTAATATCTTAACCAATGAGAATCTTTTCGCCATTTGACGACAGGCAGTAAGCATGTAGCGCCAAAAATGTCATGCCTTACAAATAGTCCAAAATAAGTGTGAAATGGTTCTATTCTTGGACCTCAGTTTTTGATATTAATGAAACCTATAAATATTCTAATGTATTAAGAAGTTGTTTATTTTCTATGATTACCTCTTCTTTTAAATTTTATCATTACATTTTAATTAAAAAAATTTTGTCTCTTTATTGGGCCTCATTTTAAAGAAACTTTATGCATTTGTTGTTTAAGGTATGTCACACTTATGGAATATTCCTGATGCTGTCCCAGATGCTATTCAGGAGATGGAGGTCCAGGATTTTGAGGATATCATGATTACCAGGATGAAAAGTCTCATCTTCTGTGAGGGTAATGGTAAGGAAATTTGTTAATAATGTTGATTCTAAAAAAAGCATCTTAAAACATTTTTGAACAGTGACATGGTATACATTTGATCTGTACCTTCTTTTAAGTATTACACCTTATGTACATCAAGTTCTTTATTCATTTTCAAATTTCAGCACCTCCATTTGCAATTGACCATGAATTGGTAGAGTTCACTGAGAAGAGTACAAGAGATCAGAGAACATCTGACATGTGGCAGAAACTACACATTGGTCGACTGACTAGTTCTTTGTTCGGTGACGTTTTGAAAGCTGGACCCAATCCAAATTCTTTAATCAAGCAAATTGTGGAGGGTTCCAGTCTTCATAAGTAAGTTGTATTCTCAATGGTAATTCTATACATGTACTAATGTATTCTGAACTTGTGATGTAAGAAATTGTTCATTTGGTTCTGAATATTAATGTTTACCCCAAATGGGACTACAGGGATTATTAGTTAACTTTGTATTTTAATTGTAATGTAAATTTCTACAGGAAAATCATAATCCTGAAAGCAAAATATCATAATAGTAAACAGGGGGATAATAAACTTTAAATTAAAATAAAAAACATAGCAGAATTTAACCAGCTGCTTATACATGTAAACTTAATTAGTTTTTAGCATGTGACATGTCAGTTTACTGATCACCACACTTTAACATATGTAGTGTACTTATCAAATTTTTGCCACTCACAAAATAAATTTGTGATATACATTTGTTTCCCAATGTTTGTATACCCTTTTCAGCTAATTTTTTAAAAAAGAAATTAAGTTCTGTTTTATTTCTTTAGGTATGCTGCTCTACCACCAGCTGTTAAATGGGGACAGGAAAAGGAAGCCCAGGCACGATCTGACTATGTTAATCTGAAATCTGCCATTAACGACAACTTTTCCGTCGAAGATACAGGTCTCACTTTGTGTGCAGATCATGCATTTTTGGGTGCTTCCAGTGATGGGAAGGTTTTGGATGGTGACAACATAGGTCTCTTGGAAATTAAATGCCCCTACTCCATCCAGGGAACCCAAGTAACCAGGAAGGAAGTGGGTGAAATTATTGCCATGGGATACCCCAATTTTTGCCTGGAGGAAAGTCTGGATGGGCCACGTCTCAAAAAGAGCCACAAGTACTATGCACAAGTCCAAGGGGAATTGGCAATTAAAGGATATCCCTGGTGTGACTTTGTCGTTTGGACAGATGCTGCACAAAACAATATTTGTATTGACAGGGTATATTTTGATTCTGAGTTTGTGGCATCTATGATGCCTAGACTTATTGATTTTTATATGCATCACATAGCCAAGAAGTAATTAAAACAAACACTGTATGAAATGATATGAATCATATATTCAAAAAATTTCATTATTTGTTTTCCATGAAATGAGCTAAATGAAATTTTTAATTAACTTTATTTATTTATTGACAAAAAAACCCACATGTGGCAAGAGTCATACATATTCAAATAAAGTATTCAAATCTAGTCACTGTCTTATGTTAGATGCATGACATATGAAGTTACAAATATTTCTTGTTGGTTTAACATCTGTTGGATTAAGAATTTTATAAGATATAAATGCGCCTTATCTAAAAAGTTTACAATATTCACTTCAAAGTTGTTTATAAAGAGTTGTAAAAAAATGTTCGTATTCAACATTGGTATGACGGTAAAATAATAAAATATCAAATACCTTGAAATATTAATTTGATCACAATATCAGCCAACCTCTATTTGTTATTTGTAGAATTAAATTTTTTTTCCATTCAAATTATAAGACCTCAAATAAGCTGAGAATATGATATCCGGTAATTGCATGTAAGGAAAATATATAGTTTAAACATGTATTGAAATTGATAACTCACATGTACAATAATCAATTTTGAAATGAGTGCACTATAATGTATATTTGGAATAAATACATGTACAAATATTAATTATTAACAAGTGGAACATCCAGATTTGTAAGCCAACAAATAACCTGAAAAATCTTGGTGATAAGTGGTTTCAAGGTTAGAGGCATAACACCATCTAAAATGTGAAATTTTTTCACTCTACCTATGCTCCTCTCTACATGAATTCTTAAAAAAGCTATCTCCTGAGTTTCAAATACCTCATCTGGTGAAAACTGTGGACTAACACCTCTAAATGGGGGTATGTTCAATTTACATTTCTTTTTTTCCAACAGATCTCTTATTGTAAAGCCTTTGTCAGCCATGACACTGTCATTTTCATCTAATAAATCTAAGATACCTGAATTCATTGTCAGTTCTCTGTCTGATATCTTACCTGGCCAGCCTACAGAAACAAAAGAAATAACACCTGATGGTGTGATACCAACAAGAAACTTCACAGTTGTATGGTGTTTATAGTTAGAATATGTTAAACTCTGATTTTCAAGATTTGAAGACCTCTGTATAAAAAGCTCTGTACAGTCAAGTATAACTCTAACAGAAGAATACTTAGCTTTGAAAGATAATGGCATAGTTCTATCAATAATATCTCGAGTAGGAAATGGATTGAGAGACTTAAGTTCACAGGAGAGTAAAGAAATCCAGGTGGAAAAGTATTTCGAAAAAGTACTCTCTGAAATACAAAATCTGTAAGCTAAGTCTGATGTGAAGAGGCCGAGTCTTAATCTGATGAGAACAGCAAATAACTGGTCGATCAATCCCAATGAGCCTATTGATACTCTCTGTCTGTCTGAATCCTGGTCTGTGTTGGAACCAACCCAATACCTCATTCTCTCTGCCTTAGGTCTCAGGAAACTATCATTAAAAAAAATTATTATCGTCAGAGTTACAGTATTAAAATAGAATTCATTGTGATGCAGATGTGAGATTTGGAGAAGAGGAAAACAAATACCGTAAATCTGGAAATTTTTATGTCGATTTTATTTTGCGAATTCGGGTCAAAATGGTGTTTATTAATTTTAACGTTTCAAAATTTTGCGAATTACCACTGCTTTGTTTACATTTTCTAACTGGTAATTTATTTATAAAAAAAATATTTTTGTGAATGCAATGAATGCACAAATTTGCTAAAAATTTATCTACGGCAAAAATTTCCAGATTTACGGTATTGTTTTCTTTTTTCCCAAAATGCTTTTGAAATTCCATCATACATACTTGAAAAGCCAGGTGAACACTGCAAAGGAAGGTAGCCCAGTGTAATACTTGGTCTTTCCATCATCATTGGCAATCTTCTCTGCACTCCATTTGTGCCGATCACGTTCTCTCTTGAGATCCTCCAACTCTTTCCTCAGGGCAAGGTTCTCCTCCAGTAGAGGGTCAGGGTCACATTGTACACCTATAAATTTTGTTTTGAAAACAAAAAATTGAGAGTGGTGTTACTTTTTTTCCTGCTGAAGACAGGTTAATATTGCATATATATATGTTTCACATTACATATATTCCTTGCCTTATGCATGTATATATATCTTTATCATTAAAGGTTTTTATGTCAATGTCATCTAATTTCAATGTCTCATCTGGTACGAAGGTGCTGTTGTTGTTCATATCCTGCGAGTCTGACTCTGGGGGTTGCAAACAGCAATAGCTGTTGGTGTATAAGCTAAATTCATGGTGCTGCTGCATTAAACGTCTGTCCCTAGCTTCTGCTTCATTAATTTCCTACAATTTGAAGTTTCAAGGTAATAAAATGGTGCAAATTATTTCAAACTTTAATACATGCTGTCAATCATTTTTTTAAAATTCAAACATTGACAGTGTCATACAAAAAAAAAAACCCTCCAGAATATATTGTCATATGTTTTATATGTAAGGAATTGTATTTATGAGTATTAATATAGAATTTTACTTAATCTATATATAGCTAGGGCTGATAAAAAAAAATTTTTTAAAAATTTTTAAGAAATTTTTTTTGCATTTTTATGTAAATGGTTTTGCAATAAACAAATAATTATTTAAAAAAATAATTTTTAATTTTCTACTTTTTTTTTAAGTTTTGGCCCCCAAAAAGACCCATAAAAATTAGATTTTTTTATAAAAAATAACCAATTTTTTAATTTAAAACCCCAAAATTTTAAGCTAATTTTGACACAATAATAAAAAAAAATTTTTTACTAAAGGAGATTTAACCCTTTTTTAAAAAACACAACAAAATAATAAAATTTTGTTAATATTTTATTTTTTAAATGGGTTTTAAGAATTGGAAACCCTAAAATTTTTATTTAATCTTATAATAACTATGTGCAAATTTTTTATTTTTTTTTTTTATACCCAATCTTTCTTTTTCTTTTTGAAAAATTTACTATGCTTCCTTGTCGCTTTCCCCCCCCACAA